CTGAGGACAAAGGACCTCACAGGCACCCCTACCCCCACACACACACCCCATGGCACCATTAGAAGTCCCTGAGCATACATCAACTGCTGTATCATGTTAAGCATTTAAGACTGCATACTGGCTTTTATACAGATGTGCTTACTTCTTTGCAAAGATACGTCAATTCAATTAATTGGATGCTTTCAATTAATGCTTAGAGACCTTTTGGGCTGGTCTATAATATCAGACTCTTTATTATCAGAGAAGGTTGGTATATATGAGGCATGATAAAAGAAATCCATCAACGGGTATAGTAAAAGTCGAGATCAACTATTATTGGTACTTTTCTTTAAGAAAAAGTAAAAGGAAATACCAGTAGAGGAGTTTAACAAACTCATTCTACTACTGCTTATAGATTTCCTTTCTTCTTAACCCTAAGTTCCATTAAAAAATTAACTCCAGCCCTGGCTGGTGTAGCTCAGTGGGTTAAGCGCAGGCCTGCAAACCAGAGGATCGCAGTTCGATTCCCAGTCAGGGCATATGCCTGGGTTGCAGGCCAGTTCCCAGCAGGGGACGCACAAGAGGCAACCATACATTGACAGTTCCCTCCCTCTCTCCTTCCCTTCCCCGCTAAAGATAAATAAATGAAATCTTAACAAAAAATTAACTCCAGAGATACATTTGGGCTTTCTGCATATTTTAGAACTGATGTGCAAATGCATGAAAGTATATTTATACTTATAGTCACATCTGTAGTCCTTTAACGTCATCTGTAGGTATAATCTAAATAAACTTAAGCCACTGGTAATTTTCTAGCAGAAAAACAAAGGCTCTTTGGAGATAGTAAAGGTGATGTCTCGTGACTTCCTATCAGAGTATAAGAAACCCGGTTTTCACAAATCACCGGCGGGAGGGGGCGGGGAGTGGGCAGGAAGAAGCTGAGCGTGCGCTGAGCGTCTGCCTGCCTGTGTTTCCCTCCGCACAGGAATAAAATCAGTCCCCGGGGTGCCGCACGCCCCATAAAACTGGGTCTCCTGGGCCTGCGCCGCTCAGCCGTGATGCCGCTCGGAGTCCCCGGCTCCGTGTGGCACCTGCTTAGCCTCCCATTGTGGCTCGCGGGCCTTTAGTCGGAAACCGTGCCGGCTCTACGGCCACTTTTTTTTTTCTTCCCAAACCACTGAGGTTTCAAAAGTCACTTAATGGAAAGCAGCTAGATATTTTGAAAGAGAAGGGCGAAAAATGCCTTCCTTCCAAATATTCTGAAACACAGGCCAAAAATGAATGTGACCTTGACGTAGCTTATTCCTTTACACTGGGTGCAGGCCCTCTCGAACCCCAAACCTTCCTGCATCCCCGACCCCAGGGGTTGTAGCCATGGGTGGGAACTCATGAGCATACACAGATTCACGCAGGGTAGTTCTAGCTTGGGGTTCCCCCTTACAAAAGGACACAGCCCATACTTTTATGAGCCCAGTATCTGAAAACACTCCCTAGAACATTTAGACTGTGTTTGTCCCTGACAAAAGTGACAGTCAGCTTTCATTGTTTAATGTCCTTTGGGGGAATCTTTCCTCCTGTTCTCTTAGTTCAAGTTTACCAACAACTCAAAAAAAAAAAAAAAAAGAAAAGAAAAAAATCATCCTCTGAACTCTATAGAGGGCCAGGGATTTGGGCTTAACATATCGCTGTGATTATCCAGAGAGAACCATTCAGACTCTTGGCTCTACTTGGATACTTGTTCAATCCCTACCTTAGAATTCGATTCCCTCTTATCGAAGTTGGTAGGGCCGAGGAAAAAGAGAAAGAAGTCGCGTGTAGCCATTTCTGCCACATTTAAATCAGGAGGAGATGGGGAAGGGAGGTGGTGGGGAACATGGAATGGAACCGTGCGCAGGAACTTTCTTGGTGATTTGTGGATTTCACTCTCAAATGTTCCTTTCCGATTTCAGCGCCATTATAATGGATAATTGAGAACCGACTCCACAGATGGGAAAAGCATCCATCCATTCATTCAACAAATAATTCAAGGCGCTGACAAGGACATCAAAGCAGCTAACATGTAACCAGGGCTCCTGAAAGAGGCAGACTATGTCAGGATATGGAGGAAGGCTAGTAAATCTTTGTTGTTTATCTATTTCAGGTATTCTGTGCACAAATGGAGAGGGGGACTTTTCTGGACTAGAAAGTAATCCATGTGCTTATCGCTTCTATTTTTGAGATAAAATATTCTTAATAAAGTTGGACTTTATTTTTTTTCAAAGAAGTAAACTAGTAAATTTAGGATGTTTTGTAACTTTCTAACTTATGCTTTTTTAAAAAAATTAAATCTCACTCAGAGAGGTAGCACATAAATGACTTATCTTCAAAGCAGAAAATAATTTGGGAATATCAAACCATGGTTTGCCTTCATTCCATCGAGACCAGAACCCTGGATTTTAGAAACCCCAAACTCATGGAAACCATATGATTTTTATGAAAAGGGAGCATGTAATTAAATAAATAACTAAATGAATTGTCAAAGTGATTGCATCTTGCGTCTTTTATACAGGATTTCTTACCCTGAACTCTTGATTATACATGCATCTCTCTATTATATTATATAAAATAGCGTATTATACTATTGTTGGTGAAAAGCAAATTCAGTTGTAGCCATATTTACTTATATTTACTTACCTCATGCAGTTCCCACAGACCAGGGAAGAATGACCTCTAACTCAGCCGACACTGTCCATCACCCAACGCATATTCTCCAGATTCAGCGGATTCTCAGATCACATGCTGAACAGATGTTTATAGCACAGAATCCCCTCTTTAGGGTAAATGACCAGTGGCCCAGACAGCAAGAAGCAGGATGCGATTTTATGCTAAGGATTTACTTTGCAACAATAATGTTTGAAAAGCCTTTCAACTTCTCATGTGCCAGGGGCTATTTGCATCTGCTGACTTCCAGGATTCTAGAGTACTTGTACCCAGTGGATGCTGGGGCCCTAAGGGCAGCAAATCAGAGACACCTCCTGACTCCATCCCCCACTGCAGGTTGCAAGGGATCTAAGAAGATACACTTGCCCCAGGAACCCGAAGAGGCTCGGATCTCTGAGGAAGGTACATTGCCAACTCTGGTACAGCCCAGATGAACCTCACTTCTTGCTGCCAGATCTTAAGGAAGACCGTGTACTTTTCATTTTCTACTGGAAAAATACAGGGCGCATCTGGTTTCTTGAACTTACAGGTGTGTGTGGGCAAAGATGCAATAATATGCAAAGCTCTGGCATTTCATGAAATCTGTTCTCCTGCAACCCCATCAAGACAGAACTACTAAAAAAGTGATACATAAATAGGGGTTTCCTCTGTAGTCTAGGATAGCAGAATGGTATGTTACGGTAGGCAGACTCAAAGATTCCGGAAATAGGCCCTTTCTTGTTACCAGAATAAGAGAATGATTTGGAGCGGGGGGGATTAGAGATGATTTTAACCAACGACACATTCCTAGTTGTTTATCTGCGTATCACCACAACCTGGACATGGCAGGAGCTCGAACAAGAAGCATCTGTGCTTATTGGAATCAAGAAAATCAGGTTCTTTTTCTCTGACGGCTATCACTCTCAGAATTGGTCTTGAGAAAGTCTCCCCTCTCCACCCCAAGAAATTGAGAAAGAGGGAGATAGAGCTCCTTTCAGGCACTTGAACAGGGATGGGGCAAGAGAGGGGAACTATGGGTAAGATTTCCAAAGCCAGGAAACTGGCAGCTAACTACCTACAGAGGCCAGTATTGATTCCAAGAAATTAAAGCATGAGATAAAGACAACGTAAATAACAGTTAAAAAAGGAATACTTGTCCTATGCTATCTTGGCTTTATGTGCACAGAACAGCTTTCTCGAAGCCCTCTCCCTCCCCACCTCCCCATGAAGTATCGCCACCGGTCTCCAAACTTTTACCTAAAGGTTGTCATTGCAACTTGGTGGGCTGCTCTGCTCCAGAACCACTCACTAATTCAAACTGTAAATCTTCATCCTAAGGGTTTCCTTCTCCTGAGCGGTAATTCTCTCTGCTCTGGTAGGGAGAGGAATGATTTGTTTTTTCGTTGCTGGTTATTTATAAGATATCTACTCTAGATTAGTCCCGCTTGAGCGGCAGCCTAAATGGCTCATTCCCAGCCGAGCTCTCCTTTGGACGGGGGGCTGACAACCGCTGCTTAGGCTGTCTTTCAAGGCACACGATGGAGTGTAAAACTGTTGTGAGAAGCCTGTGTTTCAAAACAACCCATCTCTGTAATAAGCACTTAAAAACACTTTTCATTAATATATTTCTTTGTGTATAAAACAAAAGCTTCAGGCTGCGACATGGCCTTTGACAACGGAAAAACAACAACACTGTTTCAATTTTTAGCTGGACCGAAGTGACGAACACGCAAGGCAGGCTTGCGTGAGATGTCGTTACCCACATGCCACCTCTCCATGCTGGTGCACTCTGGGTTGTTTTCAAGCAAAATACTGAAAGTTCAATAGACATCCAGAGGCGAAGCCGAAACGAGTGAATACAGAATCCACGGACCTTTCTATCTCAGGTATTGGCAAATACCTTTGGTCTGGAGAGAGAGCCTGTCTCATCCTTATCTGAATTTGCAATTAAGACTTCAGAGCTTCAGGACGCAGTTCTGCTCTCTCAGTGTTAAATGACTGGACCTAAATCACATCAGGATTCAAATACACGGAAAAGGAAATGTCTGATGTCTCCTTGAACTAAGAGATAGCAGTGTTTCTAAAGCAGCTGATGCTTCGTGCCAGCATCAGGCTGCTGGAGCTCCAGAGGTAGGAAAAATGAGCAAACAAACAGCTTCAGAGGAAAAGAAAGGAAGGAGGAAGGATGAGAAGAAGAAGGGAGGGAGGCCGGGGGAAAGGAGGAAGGAAAGAGAGAAATCCCCCTTGGAAAACTTGTCACAAAAAGCAATCACACTCCCACTGACTCTCTGCGGCCTTCCCGCTCCGAACGTCCCTGGGCTCTGAATTAGAGTCTCACTCACTCCCATCAACTGCCACCGCCAATAGAACGCTGGGAGAGCCTCGGAATGAAGCACTCCTGAGTTTTCTCTTCCAATCTCTGGTGGGCTTCTCTCCGTTTATCGCAAATGAACAATCCTGTTGGAAGGGCCTCCGTCTGTTTAATGTCATTAGCGACTGTTTCGTAAAACAAACAGCCGCCCCGGCATCAGGCTGCAGTTAATCTGACATCTAAATGTGGCCTCACTCGGGGAGCCCGCAGACAGACGCAGGCGGGTTTGTTCTCACCAACGCAGGTCTCTTAATCTATCACAAGTCAAGGCGCTTATCTCTCTGCTCAGTTCAGGGATTTCTTTGTCCAAATACTCAACCAAACCCAGTTCACATTGTGCGTCCAGAATTTTTTTTTTTAATTCCCCAGGTAAATTTTTTTAAAGCGACTCCAAGTCTACAGTATATGTATTTATTGACTGTACAATATTACAAATATTTTCCCAATACTGACAAAGTCAGATTCTTTTTCAGGTTGGCGCCTAAGAGCCAGCTTCCTAATCAGTGAGTTTGGGGGCCCCAATAAAAAGCTAACTCGAGAACAAAAACATATTTACAGATCCAGGAATGATGGGTACTTGGAAATTCAAAGACTTAAGGGGTTATATACTCCCAGAAGGGTCTGATCATCCCCATACTTTAGGATTGTTATTACTAATATTATTACTATTGCCTTAACAATATTATTTAGTATGTATTCTGGCCCAGGCATGGTCCTAAAACTCACAGGATATTAATTTTTTCATTGACTCAGCCAAATGACCCCTCAGAGGGTAATCTCCCCATGTTCACGTGAAGAAACTGAGGCTTACAGGGATGAAGAAATTTGCAAAGGTCACACTGATGGTGCCAAGTGGGCCAATCATTTCAAAGGGGTCTACCTGGCTTTAAAGCATAAATGTCCCTGGTCATGGGGTCCTATGAAAACGGGTCACCAGGCCAGTTTGAAAGTGTCTCTAAGGATCGCCTACGCTGGAGTCGCTGGGAGGGTTCTAACACATACATTTCTGTGCTCCTGCCAGTCAAGGCATCTTTTTTTTTTTTCATGTATGGAAAATATTGCCGTGATTCTAGGCTAGAGCTTCTAGAAGAAGTTCACATCAGAGTTACACCACAAACTGCCCAGGTTGTTCACTGTAGCTTCACAGAGGGGCCCTGGCCACGTCAGCTTCATCTCCATAGGTGGTGACTTTTCGACACCTGTGCCTCCCCCAGGACCCTCAGGGACTCCACCACTGACAACGTGGACATCTCTGCACCCCTCTGGCACTTAAACCCTGCCTGCCCTTCTGTTGGCTTCTTCTTCCATGTTTAAAGCCCTTTTGGTGTAAAGCCAGTCCCATGATACAGTGAAGAGATATTAAAAGACAGACTTCAGAGTATGAAGCTCATTGCATGGTATTACATAGTCATCGAGTCAGAAAACACTACGAGGTGCATTTATATTCCAAGCACTAGGCTAGGCACCAGGCATACCAAGTTCCTCTCGCTCTAATAATTTGTTAAAGGAAATCCAAGATCACGCCTCACTCATATCCCTTCAGGAATTAGTTTCAGCTACTCAGAGGAGACAAGCGTTTTGATTCCAAATATGTACACATACAGTTCCCTCAGCCTAGTATTTCATCATCCCCCTCTTCCCTGGGCTAGTCCCTGTCACTTCTTCAGGGACATGTCCCCATTCATTGTATCCCTACACAGGGTAAGTATCTTTCCAAGAAGTTTTCATAGCATCCAAGGTTTTCTCATGCACTAAACTTCCGGCCTGTGCATGTCCCCCATGAGATCATGAGCAGGACAAGAGATGAGCACAGGTCTAGCTTGCTCACAGCTGCACCCTTTGCAGCTTGAAAGACTATGCCTGATAGTCAATGAATACTGCCTGAGTGGATGGATGGATGGATGGATGGATGGAAGGATGGAAGAAAGGATGGATGGATGGAAGAAAGGTGGATGGAAGGAAGGAAGGATGGATGGAAAGATAGATGGAAGGAAGGAAGGAAGGAAGGAAAGATGGAAGGAAGGAGGGATGGAAGGAAGGATAGATGGAAGAATGGATGAAAGGAAGGAGGGATGGAAGGAAGGATGGATGGAAGGATGGATGGATGGAAGGATGGATGGATGGAAGGAAGGAAGGATGGAAGGAAGGAAGGAAGGAAGGAAGGAAGGAAGGAAGGATGGATGGAAGGATGGATGGAAGAAAGAAGGGATGGAAGAAAGGAGGGATGGAAGGAAGAATGGATGGAAGGAAGGATGGATGGAAGGATGGATGGAAGGAAGAAAGGTGGATGGATGGAAGGAAGGAAGGAAGGATGGAAGGAAGGAAGGATGGAAGGAAGGATAGATGGAAGAAAGAAGGATGGATGGAAGGAAGGATGGAAGGATGGATGGAAGGAAGGGTGGAAGGAAGAAATTCTATCTTAGAGTTAGTTATTTTATTCTTATAACCAGACCAACATAGCTCAAACCCTTTCAGAATGGAAATACTAGCTATTCCTACATACGTGCACACATCCTATCAGAGATACCATCAGAAGGAAGGCAGTTAACTGACATTCGTGGTTGAAAACTGAGATTTTACTGGGCTAAAATTAGAATAACAGTAAACAAAAGCCATTCTGGGTGGAGTTAAAAACCCCTCGGAGACAGCAATGGCAGGCTTCAGTAGAGGGGTAGAGGAATCAGAAGACAGAGGATGTGTACATTTTTTGTGTTTTGTGGTTTTGACAAAGGACTTTGCTATTTTATCAAGACGTGGTGATTCAAATGAATAAACATCACTGGGCATCAGCGTTTGGGACAGGCATGACAGGGTCATGAGGTGGTCAAAGGTGATTAAAAAATTCCATATTCTAACAGGGTATAGAGACTAGAGAATAATGCAAAAACTAGGAATAGAGAATAAGGCAAAAACAGGAAAGGCACATAGAATTTTCCTTGAAGGGCTGTGAGCATCTCATTTGTTCAGTCTTCTCTGCCCACACGGGCTCCGTCTAGCAGCTCCAGTGTACCACGTCCCCGTCCAAAACCCACCCTCACCTGCTGGGGAGAGACCAGAAAGCCCAGAAGAGGGGAATAAACAAGACTTAGACAGTGAGCTCCACCACTTCACACACTTATTTTCTGTCAATACCTGGCACTTCCCTTTTGCAAACTGCCCCTTTCAGGGTCAGCTCTAAGTAAAATGATTATTAACTTACACAATGAACGCATTGGTTTTCAGAGGCTGACACAATTTTAAGGGAGAAATTTTCCTAATGGAAACCAAGAAAAACAAAGAAAAATTTTACAAGCATGCATTTCCTGATTTAGAGGAAATGTTTATTGAGCGGGTGAATGATCTCCAACTTTCCTCTCACCACGAATGTTTACCCCGGCAAATCTGTGGAGCAGAGTGGTTACAACTAGCCACTTGGAGGGTTTGCCGCATCATCCCTGCTGGTACCAGTGACTGCCAGCTAAAGAAAACAACGCTACAAAGTAACAGTAACACCATAACACCAAAGTACTTTGAAAAGAAGCACAATTAACTTCTCGCCTATATTTTCAAGCCCTGAAAAGAACGAGCTTCCTGGAACAGGCTTACAGATGAGCGCAATTGGAACTACCTAGTACCTGTCAAGTAAAGAGAAGGGAAGGGAAAGCAGCTGAGCTCATTTCCAAATCCTTTCTTTTTGTGCAGTGGTAGGCAATCAGTTACCTGGTCTGAGGTACACTGACCTGGGGTTGGACCTGGTTACCTGGCCTGAGGTGCACTGACCTGAGGTTGGTTGGACCTGGTTACCTGGCCTGAGGTGCACTGACCTGAGGTTGGTTGGACCTGGTTACCTGGTCTGAGGGGCACTGACCTGAGGTTAGTTGGACCTGCTTACCTGGTCTGAGGTGCACTGACCTGAGGTTGGTTGGACCTGGTTACCTGGCCTGAGGTGCACTGACCTGAGGTTGGTTGGACCTGGTTACCTGGCCTGAGGTGCACTGACCTGAGGTTGGTTGGACCTGGTTACCTGGCCTGAGGTGCACTGACCTGAGGTTGGACCTGGTTACCTGGTCTGAGTGAGGTGCACTGACCTGAGGTTGGTTAGACCTGGTTACCTGGTCTGAGGGGCACTGACCTAAGGTTGGACCTGGCCTGAGGTGCACTGACCTGAGGTTGGTTGGACCTGGTTACCTGCTCTGAGGTGCACTGACCTGAGGTTGGACCTGGTTACCTGGTCTGAGGTGCACTGACCTGAGGTTGGTTGGACCTGGTTACCTGGTCTGAGGTGCACTGACCTGAGGTCAGACCCGGTTAACTGGTCTGAGGGGCACTGACCTGAGGTTGGACCTGACCAGCTCCTTGCACGTTGTCCTGTTTTAGGGCACTGGTTTCCTGGTCTACAGCCCAAAGGCATCTGTCTAGCTCTCCAGCTGCGTGACTCTCAGGAACTGTAATAACGACACTTTGTGGTGGCTGTCAACAAGGACAATGAGGATACCAGCCTCTTGCTGAGTGCTTCAGACCCGCTCTTTCATGAATGCTCATAGGATGGGTGTTATGATATTAAATACCCTTTTTCCTACAGATAAAAACAATGAAGCTTAGAGAGCTGTGTCTCGGTCCAAGGTCATGAGCAAGTAAGAACCACTGCCCCATAGGAAGTGAGCGGAGCAAGGAGAACTTTTAGGATTCTTAGCCCTACAAACTTGACCCAATCCTGGAGCTCAAGATGATTTCTCAAGGTGGATGCCGAGTGACAGCAATAGGATGGAAATGAAGCCCCTCCCCCCCACAGGCAGATCTTTGGTTTATGGCTGGAGTACAGTTACCTGGACTGTAAATGTTTGACAGCCCATGTGGCAGGCATTTAATGCATGGGTTTTTTTTGGGGGGGGGGTAAACACACAAGTCACCTAAGGACACCAACTCCTATAGCAATAGGTTTCCCAGCTCCATTTGCATCATTTATAGGCTAAAAAAAAAGGTAATTAAAAGGGAAGGCAAAATTAATGAAGGCAAGAAAGGGGGGCAATTCTGTTGGGAATCATTTATACGGAGAAGCAGAATTTACGGAAGATAATCAGCTGGGCTCATTTCCCACACCTTTTCACGCTGGTCTCCCTCAAAAATGAACCGCACACGCTTTCATACAATTCCTCATAAAACAGCGAGATTTTTCTCTGGCTATAACATGTTTTTGCCAATTGTGAGGCCCCTTCAGGAAGTACTACAGTTTTCAATAAATCACTAAGGAAAATAGAATCTTTAAATCTTGGGGGGTAGGAGGGGTCCTTGCTCTCATTCACAACAGTTATACTGACTTTGAATACTTTTTTAC